CTACTACTACTACTACTATGACAGTAGTCAAGTATGCAAGCTTTGCCCTTCATGGTTTGCCTGACCCACTCCGGACGGTCCTTGGCCCTGGTATCCACCAGGACCATGGCCTGGTGGAAACTGACCTGGCTTGCCCAGTGCGAGAAGGCTTTGCCGCGTGTGGCTGCTTGCTTGGAAGTGCTCTCTGCAACTTGGTCGCAAGTCACAAGTCATGAAGCGAATGGATCCAACAATATAAACGGACTTCCATCATCCATGCAGTGCAGCTTTGTCTTGGTTGGACTACACGGCGCACCACTTGCACTTGCACATCGCCGAATTGCAACTGGCACTTGTCTAGTCTAGCATGAGCAGGCCACATCGGTCAACGGTGTGGGCCTGTAGCCGGCAAGAATTGTGCCATCAACCGGTTGTGGGATGTCTTGCGATGGTCGCGAGATATACCAAACTCCATCGCATGCACTTGAACGGCGCAATCAGGGCCTGGTGCCCCATACCCCTGGCCATAGCCGCCGTAGCCCCCTTGTCCTTGTGTTGGCTGCATGCACAGGGCCATACTCTCAAAGGCATTGAATCAGGGCCAGGGTGAAAAAGACAACAGGGCCCGATGCAATGAGATCACTCGAGAAGTTTCGCAAGGAAGCAACATCCAGGCCCGCAGACTTCCGTGTGCATGGATGCTTCAAGTGTCGCGGGCGATGCATCCTATGTGCAAGGTGTCTTAACCAGGTGCTATCTGACAACTTCGAATTCTTCCGAGCATCCGTAGCTATAGCCACCGCCCTGGGGAGGATACCCGCCGTAGCCGCCATAAGCACCACCAGCAGCACCAAGGGCGCCATAGCCCCCATACCCACCTGGTCAGGCTCGGGTTCTCGTCTCAGTTTTCGTCAGCGCACACACACACACAAGATTCGGAAAAGTGCAAGGCGATGCAAGGCTTAAGCCTTGTGGATGTTACAAGAGAGTCATGTAGCATTGCAACGCAATCCTGCCATGGACAAAATGAAGGATTGCATGCGATGTTGCCGTTGTGCTTGAGCAGCCCTCCTTTCGCACAGAAAAGCTAGACTTTCTTGAGCATCGTATCAGTGTCTTGTTTTGAGTCTGCGGTAGATTGGGCACATCCTGCCTTTCCCGAATCCCTTGCCGGCGCCGCCAGCCTCGGCGTCAACAGGAAGCCGCACGAAGCCGTCTGAGCCCCGAGACCAACGCTGTCTTCCCAAACCCCCGGATTTGCGGTTGCTCAGGCCACAGCAGGTCTTTGCCTGAGCCAGTCGAGGTAGTTTCAGAGTTAAGCGACCCATGACTTCCAGCACAAGGGAAGCCCTAAAACCAACATCAGCCCTGGGCGGTTAATGAGCTACCGGCAACTTCTTAGCCAGCTTTGTCTTCAACGAACTGTTGTCTGCAGGCTCTGAGTTGCTCTGAATTATGGCACCTTGTAGGTTGCCTGCCCCAAGTGCTTTAAGCGAAACAACCTCCACTCAACGAAAGGACTTTACGAAATTCTACGAAGACACCTGCTGCGTGCGCTACCAGTTCTACTCTCCGTTCCTGGTCTTTGGTTCAATGACCCAAGGAGATGATACCCTTCGCGCTCTGCATTCTGTGCTGCCAAATCTTCGGCCGACTCCCGCCGTCTTACACATCAAAAAACACCACATCCCAGAACTCCCTTGTCGAAACTTAGCGCCTCATTTCGAGCAAGTTGCTGCCGTGGGGGCAGAGGTGGGGGCCCAGGAAAGTCACCAGGCGTGAGGTCCGCATTGCCTCGGAGGTTGCATGCCTTCCAACCCGACATCAAACATAGGTCTGGCTTCTCAAGAGGCAGCCAAGTGCAGGCTTCGTCTGATCCTAAGGTCACTGCCCCAATAGCAGTGCCGATTCTTGTCGCCGCGGATTTCTTTCAAATAACCTGCACAGCCAAAGCTCTGGGCAAGCTGTCCCCTCGCTATCTCGTCAACCTGCAGCTCTCCATGGTATGCAAGGCAGGCTTGGTCGGCACTATGCCGAGTACTTCGGTGCGGGGTGAACAAAACGAAGATACCCGCTTGAAGCGAAGTGGCAATGCACAACTGCACAGCGGAATTCAGTTGAACGCCTGAATCTCTGCACCGGCCTTGGTTCATGGCGCCACATTCACCCTCTGCGAGATCGGATGTGGCATCTTTGAGCACTTGCTCCTGGCTCCGGGAAGGCACCCACAGCTTGAAGTCGCGCCTTGACCCAAGATTCTTTGATGCTGTGTTGGAAGCAGTTCAAGCCAAAGCTGCTATCGTTGAACACGTCCCAAACATTCACGTTCCAGAATGTGCTACTTGTTGCGGCCCTTTCGTCGCCGCAATGCCTAAAGCCGAAGCTGACTTTCATGTTTGCTTCGCTCCTCTGAAAAACTATATTCGGTCCCGGGGCCCTCAGCCCCGAAAATCGCAGTTGGTTCTCCAGGCCAGTCTCGGGAAGAGTCTTTACACACAGTAGGCTTCGCTTCACTCACAAGATCGTCAGGGGACATGGCGGGGTCAGTGATGACAAATCCAAAGTTCAGGCCCTGAATGTTGGAAAGCCACAGCACTGTCCAGGGCAACTTCAAGTTTCCCAAGCCGAGCCTGGGCCAATGGGTTTATCAGAACATGGGTAGTTACAAATAAGCCAGCCTGCCTGCTGATCGGTGGTAAGGCTTGGTCCAAAGAGTGCCGCCAAGGATGCCGCCAACAACCTTGCTCATTCTTGCTGTCACATCAACCACGAACAAGGGCATAGCAGGTTACACTCGGTGGATGGTGAATCCGTGTAGCTGAGAATCGTTTCCATATAGTAAATACTGGCATGCTAGCGGATATTTAACAGTAAAGAGCGCGAAGCTACTTGGCCTCAGCTGGGTGGGTGATGTGAAGCTCGAACAATCTCGGGCTGTTGCGCACTGAGCCCGCTGAATCTGCCACCCTTGCCAGAGCCAAAGCCGTACCTTCCGCACCAGGCTTGTTCAACAGGCTAGTCGCAGTCTGCACTGGATGGTATGCGTACACCTGCCCCATACAGCAAAAAACATGAGGAGTACAAAGGCAGCGACGTTACTGACGGAAGCCATCTGCAGAATCTACAGAATTCTGTCGAAGCCCTCACGCTCAACTGTGCAATCCTCAGCTTCGTCCCGGGGCTCACAGGGGACTGGTTTGGTCTGGAACCTCGGCACAGCATGACCGATCCACTGATGAACAAGGATTGATGATGTGACGAAAAGTTCAATCCCGAAAGCCTTCTCAAATCTTTCTGGTTTCTGGATGGACAAAGCTGTATGCTCCCGCAAAGACGTGCACAACAATAGACCGATCTGCTCTTTGGATCTAGGCCCACATTAGACTGCAGTTGCAAACGAAGTACTGCTGTGTTGCAAAACAGCCAACCCGCAAGCAATGCAATCGCCGAAATCAAGCTCTGAGCACCGAGCAATGTATCCCGCAGTGCTGGGACCGGTTTCTTTCCTGATTCTGAGTGTGATCGGTGTCTTCGTGTGAAATGTGCAGTCACTGTGTAGTTTTAGACTGGCGGAAAACTTGTTGCTCGTGGGTCTGGGGATAATGCAGGTGTCTAGACTGCAGACTTGGTTTCCCAGGGCCAGTCGTCAGTGGGTACTGAGCCTCTGGCTCATTTGAAAATCAATACTCATGTTTTGCATGTTTCTCGCGGGGTTCATGGTTTACGAAACCGACGGGATTCCCACAAGTTGCTGCCCTTCGTAAGATGTCGTCACGATGACATCATGTGGTAAGTTGAACCCATCCGCACAAGAGAGCTACGGACGGGATGAAGGTGAGCAGCGGCCACAAGCCCTTCACATGCATGTACAACCTCTAAGTTCATCTTTCCGTGAGGACCTCGCCAACCCATGCCAGCCTGTGCAGCAGTCACACAAGCACAGGAGAACCACGAAATAGGCGCCGAGCCCGACCAGCCCTCCCATCTTGGCGGTATGGCCAGTTCTCTACGGCTACTTTGGCCTAAGAGTGAAGGCTTTGGCTGCAGGACGTGTCATCAAGTACGAACCTTTACAGAAGTCCCTAAAAGGTGTCTTGTCGCACACTGACACAGCAACACATTGCGAGGTTGTCAAAAGTCTCCTGCATTCTTGAGCCATGCGTTTTTGCTTTCATGCTTCGACTTGAGCCACCGACCAAGTCCGTCCACCGGAACAGCTTGATCGGGCATGATGGCGTTTACCTGCAGGCCCTCAGTGTTGACGAAGTTTGACTCTGAGAACGCTCTGGAAGCATGTTAGAAGTTGCTCCCGCAATTGCAACCCCGAAAAGGTTTCCACAGGCGGGCCAATCAGCAATGCATGCGCTGTCCAACTATGCCGTTCTCGTGGTATGTAAGTTTGGCAGTCCAGGGCCTGTCAGCCCCCGTCTCCTTATCTATCCTTCTCCTCTCTCTCCCTCTCTCTCTCTCTCTCTCTCTCTCTCTCTCTGATTCAAAAGGGTAAGAAGAGAGAAGGTGCGGCCCTATCTCCATCTATCTCCCGCGCTCCCGGCGAGGATGCGGCTGCATCAAGAGTTGGGGGGACGCAGCCATCACGGCCTGGCGAGGCAGGGGCACTTCAGCGCGCCAGGTTTGGAGCGCGGTCGGGCATTTCAAGCAAAGGCTG